AAAATGAACATTTTTTCAAAATTCCGAGGTTGGAAAAAAGAATGAAAATTTTTTCAAAATTCCGAGGTTGAAAAAAAAATGAAATTTTTTTCAAAATTGCGCGATTGGAAAAAAAATGAAAATTTTTCAAAATCCCAAGGTTGTAAAAAAAAATGAACATTTTTTCAAAATTCCGAGGTTGGAAAAAAAAATGAACATATTTTCAAAATTCCGAGGTTGGAAAAAAAAGGAAAATTTTTTAAAAATTTCGAGGTTGAAAAAAAAAAATAAAAATTTTATCAAAATTCCGAGGTTGGAAAAAAAAATAAAAATTTTATCAAAATTCCGAGGTTGCAAAAAAAAATGAAAATTTTTCAAAATTCCGAGGTTAGAAAAATAAATGAAATTTTTTTCAAAATTCCGAGGTTGGAAAAAAAAATGAAAATGTTTTCAAAATTCCGAGGTTGGAAAAAAAATGAAATTTTTTTTAAAATTCCGAGGATAAAAAAAACAATGAAAATTTTTTAAAAATTCCGAGATTGGAAAAAAAATGAAATTTTTTCAAAATTCCGAGATTGGAAAAAAAAATGAAAATTTTTTCAAAATTCCGAGGGTTGGAAGAGCATTGGGCTAGTATTCCAAAGGTCGTAGGTTCGAATCCCACCCTGGCCGGGCATATTTTTCAAGCTCGCCCGGTGTGGATATGCACTCAGAGTAACACCACAAATATCATATTCACCTGAGTACACTACACCAACACAGAAAAAAAAATCATATTACTAGAAAACATTGGTATCGAAGGAACTAGATTCTGTTCCGAAATATCACTTACTCGAACCGTCCTGACCGCGTAGCTCAGTTGGAAGAGCATTGGGCTAGTATTCCAAAGGTCGAGGTTCGAATCCTACCGTGGCCGGGCATATTTTTGAAGGTCGCCCGGTGTGGATATGCACTCAGAGTAACATCGCAAACATATTATTCACCTGAGTACACAACACCACCACAGAAAAATTCATATTACTAGAACACATTGGTATTGAAGGAACTAGATACTGTTCCGAAATATCACTTACTCGAACTGTCCTGACCGCGTAGCTCAGTTGGAAGAGCATTGGGCTAGTATTCCAAAGGTCGTAGGTTCGAATCCCACCGTGGCCGGGCATATTTTTCAAGGTCGCCCGGTGTGGATATGCACTCAGAGTAACAGCGCAAACATATTATTCACCTGAGTACACAACACCAACACAGAAAAAAAAAATTCATCTTACTAGAACATATTGGTATTGAAGGAACTAGATACTGTTCCGAAATATCACTTACTCGAACCGTCCTGACCGCATAGCTCAGTTGGAAG